GTATAAGACTAGCTGTCAGACAAAGAGACAAAATAATAAGCGGCATACAGTATTGTCGGTTCGTACAAGAAATAACATAATAAATGAAGATAATATAGCTACATATTTAATAATGCTCAGATTTGTTGCTTGCAAACTTGGAATAAAATATATCCTTACAAAGTCTCTTCAAAAATGTCATTGAAATAAATATTCATTGGTTTGTTCAGATTATTTCAGAAATAGTGGTAGTAATCGTATTTTAAGGTATAAAGTTTCATACACGCCATAGAACCATTAAAAATTGTACTATATTCAAACAGCTATCAATTTTGACTTTAGTTAGGAAACTAACAAATATGATTGTTTGTTTTTGTAGGTTCGCCACTGAAACAACGTAGTTCTGAGACCAAGGCTTAATAAGAATTTATTGCTTTAGCAATACTGAGTACTAACTGTGGAAATTAAAGATCCAACCCTAGATGCAACATTTTTCTTAAACGTCTACTTTTTAGAGATTGGAAATTTTGATGCCAAATCCGGCAATCAACCAAATCTGTTTAACTTATTACTTACTGTAGTGGTCCCCCGGTTTATTGATAAAATTATTAAATTTTCTCTAGGATGACTCAGTTATTGTTCCGACATAAGAGAGAATGAATTAGAAACTGATGTCATGTTGCCAATAATTTTCACGCATTTTTGGAAGTTTCCCAACAAAATGATTAGGTTTGTAAACAAATAGTACTCTCGTTTTGACAAGGTGTGCCTATTTTTCATCCGATTATCGTGCGAACTGCATTAATAACGTTAGTAATTTTTAAGAATTATATTTTTAGTTTAGTCATGCGAGTTTAAATCGCTGAGGTAGGTTATACCACAGTTAAACGTTTGAAAATATAAAACTATTTGAGTATACCCATCTAGCCTTGAGTATTTTAAATAAAAATTTTAATTTGTCCAATTATTAATTTAATGAAAACGTATTTGAATATTTTTTTGAAGTCTCGTTAACGTTATTAAGTTATTCTGTAACGCCACAGCATAAAATGTATAAGGTTTGGTGCATTCTCCGCCGGTGCTGCCACCATCGGAGAATATCGTAAACAACTAGTATATACAGACACACGGGTTTAAATAGCGAGCATACGAAAAATTAATTATTTTATAAAATTAAATTATTTTATTATGCTAAAAGTGTTGGGAAGTATAATTTAGGAAAATTCTAAAAATAAAAAAGGAAATATTTTGATATTTTCAGAAGGTCTAACTTGCACTATTATTTATTATTCCAGCTAAAATTTTTTTTTAGATGAGTTCAACTACAGTAGCGAGCATAGTTTTAATCACCGGTTTTGCTAGTGGGGTCATAATTGGGGCTATTTCGACTATACCGAAATGTTTTAAAGGTACATAATAATTATAATTTTACAAGATGTTCATAAAACATTTAATCACTAGTTGATTAAAAAGTATACCATTAATATTGCAAATTATATTTCATCCTCTCGGAGTATATGTCTATTTAATTTTTTGATTATGTAACGAGCACTTTGTTTACTCACTTGTTTCGTCGAACTGCTTGAATCCATTATTGATTCAATCGGTGTGAGAAACTATGAAGCTATAAAAAAATGTTGGCTTCGGGAGAGTTGAATATCCGGGAAAGTTGAGTTATTAAATGTTATTGCACCCAACAACGCCTTAATTACTCTTTCCTTTACGTGTTAACATTTTTTCGTCAATTTTATTAACACTAGAAATTGTCACAACCCAACACAACGCCTAGTTCGAATTCTTTTTCACATATTTAATTTATGTTTCAATAACTGCACTACCAAAAAACCAAAATACTTTAATATTATGAAAAAACCACGATTTCAATATTATTTTAATGCGATCAACATGAAGGTGGCGTTAACTATATTTTGATAATTTCAGATTTTTTCCGTAGAGTGCGCTGCGGTCGGAATTTGTTGAAATCAACCGAAATGCACCAAGCCTATAGAGATTTTGAGTAATAATATAAAGTGAAAACGGACACTCATCTAACTACTCTAATAATTTATATGTATATGTTACGGTTAAAGTCCGATGTCCGGTTAATGTGTTAATGATGACGATAACGTGTTAATGATGACATTAACACGTTAATGTTTGGGTTAGGTTATGTTTTGGTTGTTTTGTTGTGTGTTATTCTCGAGATTAACCGGGTAATGTCGACATCAACCGAACATCGGACCTTAACCGTAACATATACACTATTAATGTAACATATGTATAATAGATTTACAAGAGAATAGTTTCATTGACATCGTCTGCTATAATATTTTTCTGTTCCAGCCACTGAAGGTATTTTTTATATATTCTTAGCTGCTGAAGAAGCACGACCAGCGTTACTCTCGTACTTCTTCAGCTTTTTTTAATATTTCCTCCATTGTAATGGAAACGTACTTGAACGTGTGCCAAATTCATGCGAAAGACGCTTTTTTGACAAAAAACTGAACTAGATTGACAACAACCGTCATAAACTGGTTATTTAATACAATAGTAACCTGACAAGAAACAAAGTTCCTATCAGCAGCCTTAATACAAATATACCGGAATATTTATGAATGCAACATTTCTGTCGTTTTAAAATGGGACAAAATATACTTAATTCAGTAAGAAATAAAATGATCTATGTACTATGGGAATTATAGTGTTAATAACGTCGGGCAATTATTTTCCCTCTAATCATAGCTATTCTTGCTTCTTGCTCCTGTGTCTTTTTTAAAGTGTACTTTTAATATTTTTTTATAAAAATACTAAATAATAATTCTTTTCATTTTTGCTTTCACAAGAAATATTCTAAAATTAATCTATTTTCCCTCAAATAAACTTACTGTATAAAGTTAAGGCACATTGCTTTCTTCAGCAACGTAGGTATACATAGATAATTTATATTTTATGGCAGAATATTTAATTTATTACGACGTAATTTTTTATGGAGAAATTAAATGCTAAAAATATGATATGATGCATTAGTAACGTCTAAATTTATGTCATAATTAAAACGTAGAAAATTATTTACGATGTTACTCGCTTAGTAACATCAACTGAATTATGCGTTAATGCTGTTTCATCTATTACATCTTCCGGCAGTATAATGACTTTTCGGTCAATATATAGACTTAAGCGTTAAACTGGTAAAATAAATTTGTAAAAAATAAAAACTAAAACCGGAAATTTTATTTTTTCCGCCATATTTTCGAAAACGATAAAGATAAGTTCAATAATTACTAAACGGTTTATCTTTGGGAATCACTAACAGGGTAACTTCGCACCCTGTATCCCTTACTGTTTCCGAGTGCCCAGTGGTAAAGACCGAATTTTAAACTCCCTGTATAACTGTACAGTGTGGTAAAAATTCGAGGTACGAGCATTGGTATCTCGGAAACCGTAATAGATACGAAGATTAATCGGGGCAAATTTGCCGCCTTGGGATGTTCAACAAAGTGCCATCAAAAAAGTTTTCAAATTTTCAAGGTTTGCTGAGTTTTGACCTTGAATAAAACGGCTTTTTTTGAAAATCCATTTTATTTTTTCCTGTGGTTACTTTTTAGAAAACCAAAAAACTAATTGCCCATTCTCATAGCTACTTTATTAGGGCTATAATCTGATAGTATTTTTAAATTCTCAAATTACCTGATAATTTTTAACTTAATTTTTTTAAATACGGACCTGCATTTTTTATCTCAGGTTTTGAAGGAACTCGGTCTCCTGAGTACAATACTTTACACTTTTTTGTTTTGGGTATCTTAACAACGACGAAACTATTTAATTATTAATTAAAACAATTTCAAGTCCGACTTGTTTTTCTTAATTATTTAATCTGATTATATTCATCGCAACAATATTAATCAGCGCTAATTAACACTGAATAAGGAAAATCGAGCCAATTGAAAGATTCAAATAAATAATATCCAGGTCAGCAATTTAAAGATATTATTTTTAACTTTTTTTTATTGTGAATATTGTGAATAACTGTGAAATCTCAGTGTACGATCTACTAATATCCATAATATTAATCGTAGTTATTATAAATAAATTAACTTCTACAAACTAGTTTCTAATGCTCTACAAGTTCGAAAGGGTTACCACCCTCCCTTTTGCAAAAAATTATTATTCGTTCAATTTTATTTATAGCTCTATGAACATATCTTCTTCTTATACTTTCGAATGCATTTTGTACTCTTTATTGTAAATGTTGAAAAATATTTTGATTTCACTTTTACAAATGACATCAAGGAATGCCCCCCTCCCCTCCCTTTGGCGACAGGTCCAGGAACCTCGCTGGCCATTATACTGCTCTACCATTTCCAATCCATCTTCCGGAAATTATTTGAATGTTTATATTATATTATATTTATATTATTTATTTTATATTATTTTTATTGCATTTGATTTTCCGTGTTCACTCTTTTATCCCACGTCATTGTTAAGTTTGAAGGCTTATCAATATTGTAACGATGAATAGATTAAATATTAAGAAAAACAGAGCCGGACTTGAAATTAGTTTAAACAAATTGTGTTCAAAAGTCCGAAACAAAAAAAAGTATAAAGTGTGGCATACCATTGTATTCAGGAGACCGAGTTCTTTCAAAACTGAAATAAAAAATGCTGGCCCGCATTTAAGAAAAATTAAATCGGTCTCTGTATCTCACAAGTTATCAGCTAATTTGAAAATATAAAAATACTATCAAATAACCCTAATAAAATTGAAAAAATAAGAAAAAATAAAATAAAAAAATAAAAAGGAAAAAATAAAATTGATTTTCAAAAAAATTTTTTTTTCAAAAATCCTTGAAATTTTTAAAACTTTTTTGATGGTATCTTGGTGAATACCCTAAAGGCGCAGCTTTGCCCCAATTTGTCATGGTCGTACCTATTACGGTTACCGAGATACTAATGCTCGTACCCCGAATTTCTAGGACCCTGTGTATAATTATTATTAATCGATCTTCTGTTTTTTTTTTCAGATCCATATCCATCGGATCCACACCGTTACGAGGACATTTGTAACGCGGGCACGGGTCCTGGAGCGTTCCCCCACGAAGCTCCGCCCTTCGGCCCGGGGGCAGTGGCGGCGGCGGCGGCCGCGGACGTCTTCAGAAAAGGCGGCGCGCCGCCCCCCTCTGCCGCCCCCGATTTCAGGGCGGCCACCGAGGCAAGGGCCTTGCCGTTCCAGCAACCCGGCGCCGTTCTGATGGTCTACGGTCTCGACGCGTTGCGCACCAACGCGGACAAGCTGTTCAATTTAATGTGTTTGTATGGGAATGTAGCGAGGGTAAGTTATCCTGTACAGGATGAGTCGTAAACAAGCGCAAATGTTTTCAGGGCTGGTAGATCTTGATAAAAGAATAATATTTTCTCTTTTCAAATAAGTCCAAAATAACCGAGTTTGAAATTAAAAAAAAAATGATTTATTTTTAAAAAAATTCAAGAGCCACCGGAGTTTTTATGTATTTGCATTCCTTATAGTACCGTAAGCATAGAGTAAAGCCGTAACCATGGTAATATCAGAGATTAAGAAATTATACTGTACGAAAATTTGTGGCGAACAGGAAAATTTAAAAGAAGATGTACGAGTTTCAACACGAAAAACTTCATAGATATGTTCTTGGGTCGAGTTATACCACTTCTAAAAATATTTGCGTATATTAAAGACTTACCCTGTATATATTGCCGGTTAAATATCCTAGAAGCGATAATTAAAACTTGATATATGCTAAGATATTGTGTAAAACACTTTGATCTATGTATTCCTTAATAAATTCATTTTCTTTTCCAATGCTAGCTAAGCAGATAAGTAGGACTGGAGTACTTGTAAACTTGTAGTACCTACAAGCCTCATCGCTTAAAAACGGCATACACATATATTTCCCTTGAATGAATACGATATATTGGTGTGCAGATTTGACGAGTTTACATTCTCTGCTACAAGCAATAGCTTTATCTCTATTACACACCAATTAGGTACACAATTTTATTAACATTTGTCACAATACAACGCGACGCGACGCCTAGTTCGATTTTTTTTTCACTTGGCAACGGCCCAGCTACGTCGAAACACCGCCACCGGTTCCCATTAGAACACCGAAGTTAAGCGACGTAAGGCGGTACTAGTGGATGGACGGGTGACCGGTTCGAAACTCGGTATCGTGCTGTTGTCCAATAAAACAAGGCAAAAGTGTAAAATCTGTTGACACACACTGCTCGTTCACGCCGGTTCGAGGCCGGATGAGATCGGATATCTCGTGAGTTCGAGTTGATTTAGACACTTGCCAAGTCGGTAGGCCATTGACCATGATATGGCCGAGGACCGCGGTTCGGATTCCGCGTAAACAAAGTAGGCCCCGTCCAGATTAGCCCTGGCAGCAAAAAGGAGACATCAACTGAAATCTTTACTTTACTTTTCTTTTTCACTTATTTTTTACCACCCGAAACAGCGTTATATCACACAAACCTCGTACCTGAGTGTTTTATAGTCTCAATAACTGCACTAGCAAAAAACTAAAATATTTAAATATTATGACAAAATCAAGATTTCAATATTATTTTAATGCAATGAACATGACGGCACGGCGGCGTACTTCACGCCGCTCATTATAATGATAATTTCTGATTTCGGCCGTTGAAGCGCTGCGATCGGAATTTGTTGAAATCAACTGAAATGCACTAAGCTTATAACGTACCCCCACCGTCACGTCGAGCCACCAGCATGCCGCTAGCCACCACGGTAAATATTCTTAAATTGCCAACATTAAACATATTCACACTGATTCACACTGCCCGTAACGTCGCGTCGTGGCAACGTCCATCTCCCATTTATTTCATGTTTTCTGCTTGAAGGCGCGGTGTGTAATAATACCTAACATTAATTACGTAATAAAAGCAATTGATGTTTTAAAAGTAACCTAGATTTTTTGTAGTTAATAAATAATAAGAAGCTAGCTATCGTTCTGATTACTGAGAAGATAACCTACCTGGTATTTATTGCAAAAGCAAAAAAATAACGAAATTATTTTATAGTCGTCCGTTCCATTCTGTCCCTATTTATACCAGACTTGAATTAATCTAAAAGTAATTGGAGAAGCCTTAAAACGAGGCCACGACGACTATAATAAAACTTCTCCAGTACTAATAATATGTAGAAGAAAAAAATAAGTAATCGCATGATGGCATAAATTGTGTACCAAACTGTAAGTAACTAATCGATATTTATTGATTGCTTCAGAGGTAAAAGTTGGGGAAAAAAGAATTCGATTATGATTTGCTAGATTGTACAGAAATTAAAATTTTTCCTTTATGTTTTTGGTTGTTTAGAGTTTTATGTAGAATTCAGAGATCAAAAGTATACAGGGCGTACCAATATTCCAGTTCATTGGACATAATTTACCTCTATACAAAAGTGCTTCGTTTGTCCGTTAGAGGGATCGAACTTTAAAAAAAAATAAACACATGTTTTAAGATATTTTAAGAACCGATATTCCGGTTTGAATGAGATTTAGGGTACCTATATTTTGCTTTAACATTTGATTTTGACAAAAAAAAGCAAGAAAAAGAACGGGTAGGATGAAAACGATGTTTTGAACAATATTTATAGCTTCAAGTCGTAAATTATCCATTACTTATTGAGGAATTTGTAGAAGAAGCAATAATTTTCACTAGAGAGCAAGAGAACGCACAAAATCACAATTTTTTCTATTTTTACTGACAATTCGACAAGCAAAATGATCCTTTAAGGTAGATGTTTTCAAATCGCTTAGCGCATTGGGAAAAGACGCTAAGCGCGTCGATGAGAATACTAAAGTCGGTAGTTAAGTGCGCGCTATATAAGCGAAAGTTAACGTCATATACGCTGAGCGTCTAAAAGCGCTTAGCGTTTTCTAAGTTACAGAATTCGGGCCCAGTCGTCGGTTTGAAAATATTTCTTAGTAAATTGTATATAGGGATGGGGGTAGTTTTTACCCTTCCCGTACTTTTTCTTGTCTTTTTGGTGGTCTTTTTTGGTGGTTATTTTGGACTTACTTGAAAAACAAAAAAGAGAAAATATGCTTCTTTTATCGAGATCTACCAGCCCTGAAAATATTTGTACTTATTTAACTCACCCTGTATACTAAAGTATATTGCGATGAAAGGAAAAAAAGAGGGAAATTTATTGCCAAAAGGTAAAGTAAAAAGCAAATAAAATATTTAGAGCGCTCAAAAAAAGGTTAAAATATCGCCTTTTTGTGTTTGCGTGTTGAAAATTGTTGGGTCTCTTGTTGACGAAAAACGAAAAGGAAACGAGGACAATAAAATAAAATTTATTTATGAAAATTATGTCATGTATTTTGAGATAGTTTCGTGCCTGCTAAACTTTTCTGCCGATAGAAATTTAGTGTTATTATATGTATTAAAATATCTTCCCGTCTTCCACCTAGGTTTCTTCTTGGAATTCTTTTTAAGTGATATCGCATCGTAGCAATTTATAGGGTTGTAATTTAAGGCTTAAACCTATCTAATTAACTTCTAAACAAAACTCTCAATTATTGCTGAATGTTGAATATACTTAACGTGCCAATTCCACTCGTATTGTCATATCTGTCTCCAGAGAATCTCGAGATTTTTCATTTTTTCCTACCCGCTATAACCTTAAAGCTATATAAAATTCAAAATTTGAATTTTGATGTGTCGAAATTAAAGAAATTTGACAAGCGATAATTCCTAAACTATGAGGTATAATTACTGGATATGCTTACTTACTGTATAGTATAGATATTATTTTGCTGACGAGTATTTTACATGCATCAGAAGATGGTTACGCAAGGCATTTTCTTTCATGAGCTTTTCTGTGACTGAAAAGCCCGATACGTGATGTTATCTCTCTTCCGCACTCATTGGCGTAACTACAGGGGAGCCCGGGGGAGCCGGGCCCCCTCCAGGTACTGCTGGGCATCCCCCAGAGAAATCCTGATTTATGACTCTTGGCTACGTATTAATTTTTATTTGCTTGTGATGCAGTAAAAATGACGTTTTCTAGTTTTGTTTATGTAATATTATTTTGTTGTGTTCAAAAAATGTGTTAATTTTTATTTTTTTAGAAAATTTGTAGGTATTTAAGTAGGTAACTACGGGAACACAGTTTGATAACCAAGTCTATGAAATATATTGATAGAGAAATTCATGTAAACGTGTATTCAAAAAATGTGTTTTTAAAATTATTTTTCATTTAAAAAAAACAAAAGCCCTAGGCCCCTCCTCGGCTCAAGCCCTGGCCCACCCCCAGGCCCACCCCAGGATAAATTGCTAATTACGCTAATGTCCACACTTCGGACATTCAAAAATCTTATTATTTTGTTGCCTCTTTATTTTTTGGTTGTCGTTGTTAACTGAGTTTACAATTATTCTCCATTGCGTTCTATTGTGCGCTGCTTCCTCCCACTAATTCTGCATGCTTATCCCCTTTTAGTTTTCATGGAAAATATCCTTGTATCTTTTGAGTTGTCCACCCGATTTCCTTTTACCCACTACAAGCTCACCGCGCACCGTAAAGAAGAGATTTTGGTAGGCGATTTTCTTGCATCCTGCATATGTGGCCAGCCCATCTTAAGCGGGATTTAGTAATCATGGCTTCAGCGCTTTCGCAGCTAGTTTTTTCAAGGACTTATATGTTTAAGACATGGTGGTACCACTTGATTCTTAACAGATATCTAAGGTGTCTCTGTTGCAACTTGTTTAATGCGTTCTATGGGGCCCAGGTATCGCATATAACATGGTGGGGATTATTGATGATTATTATTGCTCTGTACACTGCAAGTTTTCTTTTTGTGTTGAAGTTATGATTATAGAAAACCCTGTCTTTTAATTTCCAGAATGCTCTTGAGAGAATTTCAGAGTCGATATTTGCCTTTTCCGAAATCAAAGAAATCGTTCTTCTCCGATTTTTATAGCACTGTTATGGTTTTCTGGGGAGTGCACATTATTTTAGTTAATTACTAGTTAGATTTAGTTTAATTACTGGATATATTGGCAATATAGCCAGCTGTAGCATGTCCCCATTATTAGTAAAAAGTAAAAATTAATATTTTTGCTTTATCCAAAAAAAATTTTTTTGGGGTCAAAAGCCCAAAGTTTCTTCGAGAAAAGGGTGGTACGGCTGTGCTCGACTTAGCTAGCTCACTACCGTGCCCCCAAATCAAAAGTCAGTAAAATATGTAAATATTTTTCATTTATTTCAGATAAAATTCTTAAAATCAAAGGAAGGTACGGCAATGGTACAAATGGGAGACAGTGTTGCCGTGGAACGTTGTGTTCAAAACTTGAACAACGTAACAGTTGGACTCACCGGTGCAGCGCCACTACTTAACCGTCAAAATGGATCTAACCAGGACCAGATGGACGATAGTGATGGCAAGGTACGAAAATACCATGCGATAAATAAAAACGGCGTCGAAGATGGCTGGGAAGAACAATCGATGGTAATTTTGGCGAGGTTAATCCCTAGTCGCCATTACTTGACCCGTATTCTTCTTTATCTTTTAATCGCGCCTTCTGTAAGTTGGTCTTAAGAAATCGACGTCATTTCAGCGATGATTTGGAAAAAGTCGAATTAAAAATATAACCTCTACGCCCTGTATATCCAAACCGAAGCATTTTAGGACATAAATATATACGAACGTTTTTACTTATTATTATCTGCAGAATATGCTGCTGAAGTTACCCGAATAACAAATCGGACCACCCGGTAGAGTAGATTTTCAGTAAACTGGGTGATCCTGTATTAGACATTGATATTATTCATTATAAAGCTTCACTCTGAACCTCGAAATTAGTGGTATAAATTAGTGGTTTTACTTAACGTAGAAGTTTGTTCCTTTAATTTCAATGTAAGAACGTCAAAATTAATGGTAGTAATTTCCAATTAGTGGAAAAAGTTAATAAACTTTTAACTTTTGCCACTAATTTTACTTCAAAATTTGCAAGGAATGTCATTTTGGCTTTTGATTATCATCCGTCAATAAAAATTGTGATTAGAAAGTTTATTGCTTTATAAGCTAATTATACTCTATGGATACAACTGTATACCGCAAGCTGTTGCTAGGATATCTATTAATTTTAATTTTATTTTTTAGATATTGTGAATAATCGTAAACAATTAAGTATAATATGAAGTATTATGGCAACCACTAATTTATTCCACTAATTTCGAGGTTCTGAATATGAACTATTTTTTTTTATAATTTTGGTAAATATTATTAATTCAATAATAACGAAAAACGTTTTTTGTATGAGTTATCTATCAGCGTATGGACGTCACTTTGTAAAAAGTAGGTAACGTTTGTTAAAAGGCGCTTCCTGAATAACCTCCTTAAATAACGAAGCCTCTCATAGCATGTGAGTTACGACAGCGTTCATCTTGTGAGAAAGTACGAAAATACGGGCTTGAATGCGGACTTTTTATTAAAAATCGACTGAATTTCCGGGCTCTTTTATGTAACGCAGATAAGGTAGTAGTATAGAAAAATAAGAAATATAGAATATGTATTTTAATCTTATGAAGACAACCCAGCGTGTAGTTCCATTTAAAATTCTCAATATGGTAGTTCACTTAAATTGAGATGAGCTTTGACGTACTAAAATAATTTCAATTTAAAAACTATACAGGGTGATTCACGGTCATGGTACGTTAGACGTTTCTGGAGAACCAGTTAAAAGATTTTTTGAAAATTTGGATTTTTGCGCACCTGCTCTATCTATTCTAAATTATTTTCAGCGTTACAGTGTTGCCACTTCGTATTAAAAGTGGTAGCGTCTTTGTCATTTTACATGGAACGTGTAACTATTTTTGTGGACACTCTGTAGAACTCTGTATATTTTAAAACAATGCCCTAATTTAACCAACATACGCTCACAAATCTCATTTCAATACAATCTACCGTTCTTCTTGGATCTTCCGCGTCGTATGAGAGGCGTCACGCTGTATAATTTCATTTCTATTTATTAATACCGTAACATTCATGGTCTTGGTTATCATATTGTTTTATGTTTTGTAGATAAGGGAGCACAAATTGCAGTTGGCATTTAGTAAACAGCCATATCTCAGTGAAGTTACTAATCCATATCCATTACCTGATAAATCGCCATCGTATAAGGAGTACCTGAACAATAAAAATAATCGTTTTATGAATCCTGCAATGGCAAGCAAAAACAGGATTCAGCCACCAAGCAAGGTAAGATGTTTTAAAAATGTTATATTTTTTAACCATTACATATATACATATTACAGGCCTGAAAAAATCAGACAAGATACTTTTGAAAATTGTGAACTTTCAGTCATAATCTTCCGATTCTTCTAGTTTACTAAAAGTTATCAAAAATTTAGTTATAAAATTCTTCTTCGGGTTCCATCTCCTAATGGAGGTTGGAAATCATCATGGCAATTCTAACTTTGTTAACGGCTGCTCTGAATAACTGGTTTGAAGTCATTCCAAACCATTCTCTCAAATTCTTGAGCCATGATGTTCTTCTTCTTCCTTGGCTCTTTCTGCCATTTATCTTTCCTTCCATTATGTTCTGCAGCAGGGCATATTTAGGTCCTCACTACGTGTCCAAAGTACTCAAGTTTTCTCTTTTTAAGTGTGTTAATCACCTCTTCGTCCTTCTGAATTCTGCGTCGCAGTTCTACATTTGTAACCTTGTCAGTGCATGCAATCCTCAGCATACGCCGATAACACCATTTTTCGAATGTCTCAAGCTTCTCCATTTCGGCCTTTTTAAGTGTCCAAGCCTCTGAACCATACAGTAGAGTTGCAAATATGTAACCCCTTAGTATTGTTAATCTAAGCTTTAAGTTGATGTCTCCACTGCACAGACATTTTTTGACTTTTACAAAGGATGCTCTGGCTATTTCTATTCGAGCTTTTATTTCTGCTGATTGATCCAAGTTTTCGGTCAACCAACTACCTAGATATTTATATTTTTGTACTCTCTCCATAGGTGTATCATCTATTAGAACATTGGCTTGGACATCTTCTCTCTATAGTTATAAAATTAGAAAAAATATATTTCCTGTATGTTGAAATTCAAAAGTGAAATGTATCAATTTTTCTTTGATCAATTTTCTGTTGTAAATATTATAGTCTTTCGTAATTGTATTAGGGATTGCATATGCCACTTTAATTAAGTGCTGTGATGGAGATAAATATATTGAACGTTAACTATATTTAGCAGAATAATTACATATTCGAGGATATGGCGTGCAATAATTAATTAGATGGAAATGATTCTGTAGTATGCAAATTAGTAATACCACTGAAATTATTCATAAAATTATGCACTAATCCATTTCAGGGTATCTAGTTAATTTAGTACTGTCAAGTTAATATCAGACATTTTTTATGTTTAAATAATATATGTATGAAATTTAGCACAAAATAATAAAACGTATTGAAGTTTGCAAGATCATAATAAGTGTCTAAGATCATTATTGCAGTAGTATTCACTCTCTAAGTACAGTGGTATTTTACAAGACAAATTAACAAATTTAAGTATCATTCTCATCATTATCTTCAGCTTATTCAACCATTTCCTATTATAGTGTAGTCTCCCTCACATATTTAGATAATAGTTTTGTTATTAAAATAAATATATTATTATCTTTTGCAGATACTCCATTTTTTTAACACGCCCCCTCAAGTGACAGAGGCAGAACTGATTCAAGTGTTCAAAGACTATGACGTAGTTCCTCCAAAAGCCGTCAAACTGTTCCCGATGAAGTCAGAAAGAAGTAGCTCGGGGCTTCTAGAATTCGACACAACTACAGAAGCAGTTGCAGCGGTCATGGCTTGCAATCATGCTGCTATTGAAAGTCCCGGTAATTCTTTAGTAATAATTTAAAAAGACTTAAATTTATTTTAATAAAATAAATATTAACACATTGCTTCAAAAGAAAACTTATTTTGGTGATAATTTACAGAAGAACTTGTCAAAAATTAATATTTAGATGGATAATAGTAAAAAATGTATAATTTATCTTAACTATCTTAAAACTATCATCTTATCTTTAATTAACTTATCCTTAACTTACTACCAGTTCTTATACTAGTTTTTATCTCATATTCTATTAAATAAAGAAAAAGTAATTGTTGAATTTTCAACAGAGAACAGTAGCAAGTCGGTTAAAAGCCGATGGAATATAATTAAAATAATAAAATTCGCAATTCTAAAATTTATGATACACGTTTACTTACAAATTTTATATTATTTTATATTTTATGGTTTAAATGCTAATATTTACCTTGAATAATATTACTTCTTTAATTCAAGTATCCCTTATATAGAAATTTTAGTACAGAGTGTCCCATTTTCCTTTGTTTTATGGGGTTTCTGGTTTATAAGTACAGATCCAAAGATGCAGGTTTCAGATCACTTTTCTATGAAGTCCTTTCTAGGTAAGAAGGCTAGGAAGGAAGGATCCTCCTAATTTGAAATTGATGCATTTTTCGGCCCCCGTTGTATCACGGTTATATTATAACAAAAGGTGACAGCTATGTCTCGTATGGTTTTTCACGTAGAATGCAGTGACGTAACTAGTTGTTGGTTGGGAGCTGCCATTTTCGAAATACAACTCAAACTTATGTTGTTTTAAGTTTTGATAAGAAATATTATATGACACCCTGGACATATAATATTTTTTATGACTATTAATATTTATAAAAAAATCATCAAATTTTTGTTTTGTTTTTAGGAACCAAGTTTCCATTTATAATGAAATTGTGCTTCTCGTCGTCCAGGAGCATGACTATCAAAAACGGTGACAATGCCAATGGATCAAGTGTCAAAGATGAAGGAAAGGGCCTAAACTGAAAGTCTAAAAATGTTGACAAATATGGGCTATTCGAGTTTGCCCATTCAGGACTTTTATTTCCTGACGCTGAATTTACTTGTTATTAATTTTAATGTCTGATATTTCCATATTTACTATTATTATTTTCATTGTGGTTATTTATTGTTTTGTAAAGGATGTACCCAAAGCAAAAAAGAATAATTTAAATTTAATTTTTAGAGTTTACTTCGAAACGTGTATTTTGTCCGTGTTATCTTTGGGTCGTTCTGAATGTTATGTTTGTTATGGGTGAAAAAAGTTATTATGAGTTAGATGAAGTACTTACTAATAGTGTCAAAAGTTTGTTATTTTTAATAATAATGAATCATTACCCTCTAATATTTTTTGAATACCAAAAAATATAGACCAAACGGTTTGATACAGTGGACCAAAGAAATAAAATTGAATTTCATTTTATAGATTGGCATGTAAAATAATTTCCTAAAAAAATTTTAGAGGGTGTTTCAACGCAACGTGCTAAAATTCAATAGAATATTTGACTGCAATATTTTTTAAATGGCTTATACTATATTCAACATTTTTCTTCTCCTCTAAAAAGGTTTTTAAAAGCTTTTCTGATTATAATACAGTTAAAAGAAGTTTTATCATATCTAAAACATACTCTAAAAATCTTTTTAGATCAATGATCAGATAAAAAAAACGACTTTTTAGGAGACTAGTTTTAAATTCTAGTGATTTTATATCAAAATGAAAGTTACATTTAGCTACATATCGTAATTTTTAAACATTTTATCTAATTATTAACGCAAAATTAATTAATTGCAACGATGTAATTTTAGTGTTATAATAGCCTACTTTAGAAGTAGCTCTGTTAGAAATGTTTTTTTTTGAGCAACAGATAGGTTTAATAAAATTAATATATTTTGCATATAAAATATGTGTATTTCAAAAGCTATAACTAAATCTGATAATATTACAGTATATTAAATTTCATTCCTGACATACAGTATTACACAAAATTACTACGTAATAACGTGATTTTTTTAAAAATAACTTTATTCAAAGAAAAAAGACAAACCGATTAATTAGCATTAATAATACATTAATTTACAATACATATATGACCATAAAAATTCAAATAAGTACAGAAAATAAAAAAATATACTCAAATATTTTGTTATGGGGTTTTCTCATTGTTTTTTACAAGTTCTAAGGTTATCTATAGATACCGCATTGGCAAGTCTTGATCTTGGGTCAGTATTTACATGTGTGTAAGTCAATCGCTTGGGGATCTTATTAAGTCGGCGGGAGAAAATACGTCGGTGTGCTGTTGCGACGTTGCTACATTTATCAGAGATACAGGAGCGCCTTTGTCTGTGTAGTGGAGTAAAATCATGATCGAAAGATGCTTATTTCTACAAGTTTTTTTTGGATTTGTAACTAGATAAAATCACACACCGACAGTTGTATTTAATTTTGTTGTATTTGCATATCCCCGACTATTTTACCGAATCGGAGTATATGTGCTGGAGCTCATTTATTTATATTGCAATCGATTTCAGAACCGGCTCCGGCAGCGATTTTGCCGGTGTGTGTGAAAGCGCTCTTAGGTGGTCCATTTTTTATAATGAAAACCTTCAATAATCGCGGTAATTTGAAAAAAAAACAACTTTTTAACATGTGTCTCGCGATAACTAGAGAACAACTTTAGTTATTGAAACTTATTATTTCGAAGTTCGGATCTTTGCTAAGATGTTTAAATGAGAGACATTTGATAGGTTTATTTTTTCCATTGCAAAATTGCAAAGATCTACATAATATATTGTCTGCGAAGAAAATATAGCAGAAACAATATGATATTTAAAAAAAACACAATTAGTTATTTCTAATAGATTTCGAGATATCGCTGGGCTTTTTCGAGTAATTTAATAATTTACAAGCTATAAGGAAAATTACAACGATTCGTATAAATAAAGAAATAAAGTATAATTATTTATTGTGAAGCTGAACGCATAATGTACACACTTTCCTTGAATTCTAAGTACTGAATTTCAGTTTTATGATTTTTATGCGGCGCTACCGTGTCGACCGCGACGAAGCGGTCATATGTCCCCTTCTACGTCTTAACAATGTACACAGTTTCTCGGTTTATTTCGTACGTTTGGCAACGTTTTTACTCTTCTCTCCTTGTTCAAATGCATTGTACTCTTCGTACATACTGACATCGGAACCCAAAGCCGAGCGTTGCCATTAGGGTATAGACAATGTTGTGATACCAATTAAAAATGAATAAAATATTCTCAGATTAACTTTTTAGGAACTATATATTGTCATATTATTCTTTAAATTTGTGATTATATCTTCGATCGATAAACATAAAACAAATATACTGTAAAATATCGAAATAGTTTAAGCTTATAGTATTTAGGAAGGAATACTTTTTGCCTAATAACTTATCTGTTGTTTTTCTTTTGGTAAATGAATTATTTTTTGTTTTAATTATTAAATGTTAATTTTTGTGATTGTTTCTCAACGAATCTAGTTAGTTATTGAATTTGATTAAATACGTTTTAAATTGTATTAACGCAGCACAGTTATTTAGGTCGCGTGATTATTCTTAAATAATTATTGTTGTAAGGTAAACAGAAGTCAATATTCATATCACCTACTATTTTACATGGCGAAAAATTTAAGCAAATAATAACACTTACATATTTTAGGAACATATCAATCACCTATTTTTTATGCGATTTTGAAACGCGGGGCTTTGTATTTTCCAAATAAGAAAAATTGTTTTAACTGTGAATAAAAAACTTACTTTAACGCTTAAAATAAGTAACCAAACGTTACGTCCTTTAGAATATAAACTTCTGCTACTTTAGTTGCATGTCTTCCTATGTCAGACCTGGCAAGAAAATTTAACAATATATTGCATTGTTTTATAAAAAGTTTTAAGGTTTTAAATTTATTTTATATTATATTTTCATTGTTCACACATTCTTTTGAATTTTCTCTATACAGCCATTAAACGGAAATAAAATTGACTTCATATTTTAGTACAAATATTAGTTATGTATTATACTCCGTTGATCTTGTTATAGACATTTTCAACAGAGAAAAAAACTATTGTTATATAATCGGGAAACATTTGAAGTGATATACAGGGTGCTACAAATTCGAGGTACGAGCATTGCTATCTCAGAATTCGTAAGAGATACGAAGATGGTTAAATTGGGGCAAAGTGCGCTTTAGGATGTTCACCCAGATGCCATCAAAAAAGTTTTAAAAATTTCAAGGATTGCTGAGTTTTTTGGAAAAAACGGATTTTTTTGAAAATCAATTTTATTTTTTCCTGTCGTTACTTTTTCGAAAATCAAAAAACTAATTGCACATTCTCATAGCCACTTTATTAGGGCTATCTGATGGTATTTTTAGATTTTCAAATTAGCTGATAATTTGTGAGATACAGAGCCCAACTTATTTTTTTTTAAATACGGACCTGCATTTTTTATTTCGGGTTTTGAAAGAACTCGGTCTCCTGAGTTCAATGATGTGCCACACTTTATATTTTTAACAATAACAAAACTATTTAATTGTTATTTAAAATCATTTCAAATCCGACTCTGGTTTTTTAATTTATTTAATCTGATTATATTCATCACAACAATATTGATCAGCGCTAATTAACATTGAATAAGGAAAATCAATAAAAATTGTTTTGGACATTTGAAATCAATACATGTCAATATTAAGAGTACAAAAACAATTAACGAGTAATAAAAAACAATTAAAGAGTACAAAATGCATTCGGAAGTATAAGAAGATCTGTTTAAAGAGCTATAAATAAGTTTGAACGAAAAAAAAAAATTTGAGCATTATGGAGGGTGGTAACCCTTTCGAACATACAAAGTATTAGAAACTAGTTTGTACAATTTGATTTATTTATAATAACTACGATTAATATTATGCATATTATTAGATCGTACACTGAGATTTCAAATTCACAATAAAAAAAGTTAAAAATAATAGATATCTTTAAATTGCTGGCCTGGATATTAACTATTTGAATATTTCAATTGGCGTGATTTTCCTTATTCAATGTTAATTAGCGATGATCAATTTTACTGCGATGAATATCATCAGATTAAATAAATTAAAAAACCAGAGTCGGACTTGAAATTTTTTTTAAAAAGCAATTAAATAGTTTTGTTACTGTTCAGGTACCCAAAACTCAAGTGTGGCATATCATTGTACTCAGGAGACTGAGTTCTTTCAAAATCTGAAATAAAAAATGCAGGTCCGTATTTAAAAAAATTAAGTTGGCCTCTGTATCTTACAAATTATCACCTAATTTGAAAATCTAAAAATACTATCAGATAGGCCTAATAAAGTGACTATGAGAATGTGCAATTAGTTTTTTGATTTTCTAAAAAATAACGACAGGAAAAAATAAAATTGATTTTCAAAAAAAATCCCTTTTTCCAAAAAACTCAGCAATCCTTGAAATTTTTAAAACTTTTTTGGTGGCATATTGGTGAACATCCTAAAGCGCAACTTTGCCCCAGTTTAACCATCTTCGTATCTCTTACGGTTTCCGAGATATCAATGCTCGTACCTCGAATTTGTAGCACCCTGTATAGCATATCAGGAAGTATTAAATCATAGAAATTAATACTGCTATCGTTCTGCATGCTTTAGTACGACATGAAAGTAAATTTTCGTTTCTTAAAGTCTGAATTTATAATGAACACAGTTAATGATTAATAAATTACTAATAATTCAAATTAATAAAAATTAATAATAAATTATTGTATTTATGTTTTAACTAAAGTCTAGCAATTACCTTCTAGTGCGGTCACAGGTTCCTATTGTGGCTCAGTTTTAGAAATTAAATCTGAGGAGTAAGTTTTAAGATTTTAATATTTAAAGACAGATGAACTCAACAACTGATTTAGCAATTATAGTAATGATATGATTGGGGGAAATTTTTTATTAATGATGAAAGTAATTATTATTATTTCAAATGATAATTTTTGGTAACATCTAATTTTTTTTTCGATATTAAATTAATTAATGCAGTGCAGTATATCGTTATGTTTATCTTTAGAGGCCTACAATGTATGAAAAATACATGTCAATAATTATAATAATTAATATACTGGCATATTTAAGGTAAAGTGCAATATGTTTGTACAAGGCAACTAATTTTTTGGACCTTTGGACAAAACGTATAATGATTTTTTTGTTGTTTTAGAACCACAAAGGTTCAAAAATTTTCCTTTATAAAAGACAAATAGATAAAGTAAACGTAGTATTAAAATATATTAAATTTAATAGAGTTTAGTTATTTTGACTTTGGCAGCTATTTTAAGTTTTTTAACTGTTAATTTTATTGTTAAATCAAATTTCTTCATTGGTACAAAACGAAAAATAAAATGGCTGCCAATAATATTAGATGTAGTCACTGTTTTAGACATTGTATGTATATCTTATAATGGTGAGTATTAGATGATATTCTGATATATGGCAGTTTTTAGAATTTCTCAAATTTCAAAAAATAGAAGTATATTTTTTGGGATTAAAAAATCCATTTTTATTTTGAAGCTTTTCCACGGTGTCCCATTTTCGTGCGTTTTATGGTGTTTCTCGTTTATGAGTAGAGATACAAAGATGCTGTTTTCACATCACTGTGCTACTTTTTTATGAAACTAAAGATGCTGCACAAATTTTTTTCCTAGCCTTAGTAGTTCTGTCTTAGTTCCTGAAATACAGGGTAAATTTGGTATTCCTCTACCCCCTTCGTATCTCGGTTATTTTATAACTTATCGAAAAGGTGAAAACTGAGTTTTTGTAGATTTTTTCTACGCTAGTTTCTGTTTGTAGAAATATATGCCAAGTGCATCGCATATATGAATAACTGATTCATAGGGTTATAGATAAAAACTACACAAATATCTCTACTCATAACACCCGGTACAGGTCAATTTACCATCTCTAGGTACATGACATTGACATATTTTTAAATATTGTACCTGAATATGACAAAAACCTAATGTAAAACAAGATAATCTGCCAAATATCGGAATTTTTTTTGCAGATTCCTGTGTGTTATTTATTTTGTAGTATTCTATCTCTCTTCATGGAATTTGCATCTTGCAATATATGTGTCGTATATATATAGTATATATAAAAATACATAAAAAAGTTAGTTTGAGTCAATTACTTGTGCCTCTAGCATAATGTGGTAGTCGTACTTTGTCTATCACACTCTAAAACTCCATTAAAACGTTATACCTGTCTCTCTCTGTTTATTTTTGTTGGAAGTATGCTCATAAAATTAGTTTGAGTTTTTATGAGCTTCTTTATGAATACGAAACTATTTTTTTTAATTTACCAAGTTGAATTTGCTGTTATGAACTCATGAAAGTTAACAGCATTTTGTTTACTGTGATATTTTTTTCTTAAACAAAAAATCTTTACTGTTTCTTTGTGACATTCCTGTATGAAATATTCTTTTTTTTTAAAGACCACTCTGTGCCAAATTTATGTCATTTTTTTAAATTATTTTTTAATAACAGGTTTGCGATCATTTATTTCTTATTTCTAAGCAATTAATATAGCCAGATAAAATTATCTATTAATATCAGCGTAACTAAAACAACCTTATATTTTTGCCAATAGTTTTATTTTAATATAAAAAATATTTATGGAAATCATTATTTTAATATACAGAGTGGTCCGAATTGTATTCGGGAAACTTTGGCAGCATATTCTGTAGATTAAAATAAGTAAAGAAGTAGTTCATATAAATTGGTAAGTTTCCTTTCGGAGATACAGGGTGTAGAAGTTTTATTTTTATTTATTTAAAAAAAATGAAAACGGAAAAAAATTAAAGCGGAAATGGAAATGTGTTTTTTATTTTTTCCCTCATTAGTTTAATACAAGTACGGAGGAAAAATTATTCCCTTAAAAACAGTTTAAAAACATGTAGGTGGCGCCCCGTACAAGTAAGACTCATACTGACATCGAAATCAAATTTACAATGTCACAATCCAGACACCAAATTTCATCCAAATATCGATGCAAGTTCAGAAATTATTTGGAAAAAATCGAAAAAAAAATAAATTTCTAAACCATTCTTCGTATCTCCGAAACGAAGCATTTAAGAACATCAATTTATACGATTTTTTACCTATTTTTTCAGTAGAATATGCTGTCGAAGTTTCCCGAATTCAATTCGGACAACCCTGTATACTATTCGTTGTTATTGTGTAGTTGATTAATAGCCACAATTTTCCTCTTGTGTATACAAAGAAAATCATATATAAATCTACATAATAAAATGCTAATGTTTATCTGTGTCGTCTCTACTGAAGTAACGACTTGCTGTAGAAAGTTGCTTTTTTACTAAAAGATAGCTAATTGGCTCTTCTAAAAACTGCCGTCGCCGGATTTTTTGTTTTTCATTTAATTAAAAAAAATAAATAAAAAGTATTTTTTTCCTGATTGTCGTGGCGGATGCGCCAGGCTTCAACTAGTAAATAATAAAACCCTAATTCCTCATTTACTGGTTTGTAGTTAACTAACGAATTGAAAGTCTTTTTATTTATTATATTCATTAAAAATTATATATATACTAGATTTATTTTTCCTTAATATATTGTTAGAATTCGCGACCTGTTTATTAAATAATTTATTACCACTCTCGTTATATCGAAACAAACGATATATGTTGATATTACCAAAGAAAAAATAATTGTTTTAAAATATATGAAATGTAAAAATTTGTACATATATGTCTAGAGAATTATTTAATATAAAATATAAAGCAACGTGGACATGGAGAGAGACCAAGGTATCCACACAAAATCCACCCATGATACAGAATGCTTACACGTTCAAAAACATACACCATACAAAAATAAATACATTCAAATACATCTCTTAAAGGCATAAAACATTTAAAAATTCGGCTAGTCTGATAGTTGAAATAATTTGTTTTGTTTCTCAATCTATTATGTATTGTATATTTCTCAATTTATTTATTTTAATGTACTTTTTGTCTCACAATATTACAAAATTGCCACTGAAGATTAAAGTGAATTTCAAAAATAATTTGGTTTATGAATATGCCAGTTATAACTTCAATTTTACATTTTGTGATGTATTTAGAGTTACTAGTGTCCTAGTATCATATAGTATTTTTTGAATCAAGACAATAATATAAAAACGTAATGTCTTTTTATTGATTTGTATAGAACAAAATACAAATTTTTTGTTGGATAGAAGGAATAGGCCTGAATTTCTTGGAATATGCCTGAAAATCATAAATCAAACAACGTTTTTACACGTTAGTTTTATCATCATATATGTAGGTTTGGTGCATTCTCCACCATCGGAGAACACCGTAAACAGCCGACTAAATTTCAAATATTATTTGAAAATGCAATTTCAAATTTGAAAATTCTAAAAAAGTAAATCTTTTGATATCTTCAAAAGGTCTAACATGTTGTCAAACTTTTTAGATTAGTAATAACACACGAGCTACTTCAGCTACGGTAGCGATCATAATTTTATGCACCGGTTTTGTTAGTTGGGACATATGTAATAAGGGGCTATCTGGACTGTAACGAAAGTTTTTAAAGGTACATAATTATAATTTTATTACTAACTACACTAATTCACTAAAAAGAAGTATACTATTAATATGAATTAAATTATATTTTATCCTCATGGTATATGCCTATTTAATTTTTTGATTATGTAATGGGCACTTGGTTTACTCACTTGTTCGTCGAACTGCCTGAATCCATCTTTCGATCAAATCGGTGTGCTAAAGCTGAGAGGTTGTAAATTGTTGTTTCAGGAGAGTGGTATTGAGTGTTATTACACCCAAGAACCACGCAATTATACCCTCCTTTTCGTGTTGACTAATTTTTTTTGGCAATTTTATTATCATCTGAAATTGTCATAACATAAGGCGTTATCCAATTTGGGTTCTTTTTCACTTTTTTACTACCCGAAGTAGCGTTACATCACACAAACTTCGTACCTGAGAATTTTATGGTTTCAGTAACTGCACTAGTAAAAACTAAAATACTTATCAACATAAACGATATCCTGGATTGCGTAAAATACAGAGCTGGTAACTGCTGATTCCTGCTGTCAGGAACGCTGCTGTCGAATTTTTATAAATCACGTGAAATGCACCAAGCCTATACCTAATATGTTTAATATATTTTAAATATATCTAGTGGCTATAAACTACAAAAAATAGACAAAAAGTTCAATAATGTTTTATGCACATTTACACATCTTTATTAACATAAGTTTTCGCCAAACTTATTCTGCTTACTTGTCAATATTAATATGAGACTGATTTATTTCATATCACGACTAGCCGCAACAGAAAACACACAATACTAAGTTTAGGTAAATGTTATTGATGTATTTTCCGAGCTGTGTATAAAAATATATATAACTAAGAGTATTATATGATATTAACGCGTTCTATAAAATATGCCAAATATCTGCTTTGGCGGTTTCTTCTTCGATTGTACTATCGTACTTGTTAACAGAAAGACATTTTCTAAAGTTGTTTTTAATTATTTTTACGTACCTGTATTGTTCAAATATGTTCTAGTTAATTGATAGTCGCTCATTGAAGGAAGTTCCAAAGCAATTTATTCTTTTATTTATTAGTATTTTTTTCAAATATGTAAATATATACGTGGCTAAAAAGTAAATTCTTAAAAGTTAAAGTGTGTTTTTGAACTGTAAGATGTCCTGTTATTTCCTTGATATCCTTTGCTCTTAAAATGGAATATAAATCAATATAAAGCATATCATATGCTTTCATCACCAAGGCTCTTGTACCGCTTACCAGATGTCAGTGAAGCGAGTTTAGTTAATCTTATGAATCATTTTTTTATTATTAAGTTTAAATCAGTTTAAATCAAGTGGTGCCCGATGGCGTAGAGGTACAAGCTCTCGTCTACCAATCTCAAGGTTGTGGGTTCGATTCCTACACCCGGCATTTCATCAGCCGACTATTTTTATTAAAATAAAAATAGTTTGGGTACCTAGGTCGACTCAGCCTTAAATGAGTACTTGGGATTCACAATCCTGAGGTAATAATAGGCGGTTGAAGCGTAGTGCTAGCCACATTACCTTCCTTGTATACCGAACGGCTCTAGTATGGCAAGTTTGTACCTTGCTACTCCCAAGGCGTTAGTTAAACGCTATACACGGGAGCTATTATTATTATTATTATAAGTTTAAATCAGAAAGGTAACATCGTCAGTATTATTGTAAGGTTATACGATAATTTATGATGTAGAGAAATTACTAAAAATCAATATTTAGTTTACACCGATAACCAAGTGCATATAACTTGTCAATCGTTGAGTGACATATATAAGATAAACTGAAAAATGTTTAACTTCTCTGTTAAAGATGGAAGTGTATAGAGGGAACTTTAAGTACTTTTTTTCAAACGTCACAAAGTATTAATTTTTGCGACGTGATTGAAAATATAAAATAGTTATTTGTGTTACTAGTGCAAAAAGGACATATTTGTTGCACGACGCATGAGTTTTGCAACTCGAGACGATGTCGAGAGTTGCAATCATGCTGAGTGCTAATATTACTACTAACAATGACACTTTTTTCTAATAATCAAATATATCATAATATTTGTGGATACGATCTACATTTTATGTTAAGTAACTTCAGTTTTGGAGTTTTGGTTAGTATATAAGGAAATTTTTAAAATAATTATTTCAGTACCTATAGCCTTCACGGTTTCAGCTGTCGATATTCTTATGTGTTCTATAGTATGCACAAAATTGCGCAACTTGAGGGATCAAGCAGAAGTATATTAGGACATTCAACTGAATATAATCTACGGTTTTTTATGTCAAGTTGATTTTGGTTTTATCCCATGATTTTCAGATAAATCAAAAAATGCCAAAAGGAGTAAATGTCTTAATATATTTTTGGTTCTGATAGGGAATTTCAATTATTCAAATTATTGATTTGACTAAATTGTAGTAAATCATTTTCGGACATTTTACAATTATACGAATAGTAGTTAATTGTGAATATTTTCAATTTAACATTGGTCTTTTGTAAAAGAAATTTTAAGCATTATGATAAAGCACTCAACATAATTAATTATTTTAACAGAAGACGTAAGCTTTTTTAAAAAAATATAAAACAGAAATAATTCCATTGAATTATCTGTTCTGTATTATTTTTTTTAGAATAAAATTTTAGTGGTGCTACTCATAATTTTATGGAATTTAAAAGATGAAGGTATAAGTTATGATGTAAGTGAAAATAAAAGAAGATGAAGGTAAATTAGTAAATTTTTTATCTGCAATATATCATAATATTTGTGGATACGATGGACATCCATGTTGTAATTTTCTGTTTTGGTAAGTATATTTTCAATTCTCAAAATTTCAGCCGGAGGTAATATCATCATACCGTGCTGGCAACTGTTACTCTTGGGTCGGTATTTACATGTGTGGAAGTAAATCGCATAGGGATCTTATTAAGTCGGAGTGAGAGAAATGCGACGGAGTGCTGTTGCGGCGATGCCGGTACGCCTTTCCCTATCAAGTAAAGTAAAATCAGATTTCGAAAAGATAAGTAGATAAAATCATTAGAAATGTTTCTGAGCATCTGAAATGGAATTATAAGGATATCCTTAAGGTGTCATTTTTTTTATATGACGAGAAAACGTCAGTAATCGCGATAATTTAAAAACTCAAATTTTTAACACATAACACGCCATAACTCAAGAAACACTTTAGATATTGAAACTTTTTTTTATTTTGAAGATAGGATCTTTTACAATATGTTTACATAAAAAAAATCGTTAAGGTTGATTTTTTCCATTCAAAAATTGTAAACAACCCATCTATTTACTTTTAGAGCATAGCAATTTTCAGCAGTCGTGTAATTTTTTTATTGATAAAGATTTTCACTTACTGTCTACGAAGAAAATACAGCAGAAATATTAAGAATGTTTTTGGAAAAAACTACAACCAATTATTTCTAATAGATTTCGAGATATCAATTTTTGAATTCAAAGTTCTAATATCCCGACCACTGTCGAAAACCAACTCAATTCTACTTATTTTTACCAAAAATGCAAGTGTTTCTAGCTTGCACCTAAAAATGTTCAAGCTATAAATTACAACGGCTCCTTAATAAATATACAAATAAAGTATTACGAGACGTAATTAAATCGTGAAGCTGAACGCATGATGTACACCTTTCCCTAGAACTTTAAGTACTGACAGAGGTACTGATTGGGTCGACCGGTCAACTGCGATAAATCTGCTTATCCCCTTCAACGTCTCTTAGCAATGTGCACAGTTTCTCGATTCATTTCAAACTTTTGGCAACGTATTTACTGTTCTCTCTTTGTTTAGTACATTATAAACGTACTCTTCTTACATACGGAAATCTCGACCCAAGACTAACCTTTGCCAGCCCTTAGTATATCGGAGGTACCTCCGTGGTCGCTAACACTGAGACCGAATCAGAATAGTACATCGAAATTATAAAACAAACTACTTTTATTAAGTTTTTATTAAAAATAACCAAACTATATAACATGTCTATATTTAATTAATGAGTATATTCAATGCAGAAATGGCCAAAAGGTGTATATCTGATAGTCATTCTTGATACATTCATTTTATGAATATAAATAATCATATTTTATTATTTTTTCAAAAATATTTTAATATGGTTATTTAATAACCATGAAAACCTTAATCACATATGATAGATATACATCCATTTCTGGTTACATTAAAAATACATCATGTTTTGTAAATAGGATACATTTTGTATTAAAATTGTTATGAAGCACCAAATATATCGATAACAAATTTAAGAACTATTTAATTTTGTCAAATAACAATTTTGCTTAATAATAAACTTTCATATAAAATTTTAAATTGTCTATATATAAATAAACGTAATGTATAAATGGATACTTAATCCTAACACTCTACTTTAGAATATTGACGCTTGATTTATAAAATTAAAATATAATACTTTAAAATTAATCCAAATAATAATGATGTTATTTTCTTATAAGATATTTTTATAGATACTAATAATAGATAACAATAGAAAATGAACGTTATTGGATTATATACAATTTTACATTTTAATGATACCTATATTGCTATGTATTACAAAAGATATAAATTTTCTTTTCTATATATGTATATGGTATGTTTAAGAATTTAAATTTGTTTACATCTAAGTAAGTACAAAAATTGAAAATATATTCGACCTGCGAATTTTGTGCGATATTTTCATTCATTTTAATTCCTATTCGTTACAAAATATCTCACTCTATGCCAATTCATATGAATTAAATCATTTAAAGCTTCTTTTGTATAAGATTTTACTGTATCTACATTCATGAATGGTCCAAAATTTTACAATATGATCTAAATGTTTTACTATGCTAAGAACTTATTTTTTTCCACGTTCGGCATCTCTTTTTCGATCTCCAGCCAAAAGTGCCGGTCTACTGGTTTGTTCCTCAAATTTCTCAAGTTGTTTGAACTTTTTGTGTTTTTCTAAAACAAATACACAATTTAGCATACTAAAATAGCAAGGTTTAGATTGATGGCAGTTTTAATTAGTGATGGGAAAAACCGATTAATTTCAATAATCGAGTACTCGAGTTTCAAGCGATTTCAATAATCGAGCGAATTTTCGCTCGTATTACAAATACGATTTTTCGCCCGTCGCTTGTACTTGCAACTCGTAACGCCAAGCAGTAAGTTGCGTGCGCAGAGCACATATTATTCTTTCGGTAATGAATGGCAAGTAGCAAGCGACTGAGCGACGAGTAGTCGCTTGATTTAGTTTACTTTGAAGTATTGTCGATGTAGGTTGTAACATTTTGTAACGCGACGGATAACGTCGTATAAATTTGCTACCTGCAATGTATGTAGAAAATTCGCTCGGCTTTGTATCGAGTATGTCACATTAAAATCAGATTTCAATTTATCTCATTCTAGGATCACTTGCGTTCGTCGCTCGTAACTCGTCACTTGCATCATAATCGAGCGATGTCGGTTATTTCAATAATCGAGTACTAGAGCGAATTTTCGCTGGAGTTATCCCATCACTAGTTAGCCGACCATACCAATAGGTATGGTAGGCTATTAAGATCGGCAAAAAAAGTTTTTTTAATTTCACTCAAAATGAGTTATTTGGGTCATACATGACCTAAATACAAAATATCTTCTCATGGTGTCGGTCTGTCTGTCTGTCTGTCCGTCTGTCCATCTGTCCATCTGTAACACGATAAGTCAAAACCCGCTAAACCGATTTTAACCAAATTTGGCACAAAAATACTGTGGCACCCGAGAATCTGGCCATTAGTTTTTGGTGGGGGTGGGGGGTTGGTAAGTGGGTATGGGACGGGGTTAAAAATTTTTAAAAATCGTAACTCCAAAATGACAGTAGCTAGCGAAACGCGGTTTTCAATTTAAGATTAGGAATAATATTTGCAACAAAATTTGTAATAATATCAAAATCAGTCAAAGTCGCAGTTTTTGAGTTAAAAAAAATTTTTGTATGGGCGGCTATACGTACCTCCCCGCGCCAATTTTTTTAGTTGACATTTAATTAGTAAGAGCAAAGCTAATTCACGCTTCAATGAAATGTTATGAGAATACATTTATTATAGAGATAAGTAGTTTTGAACGATATAGATCCGACAGAACTGGAACCTGTCCATGAAGATTGTAATCCTGGACCCGAATCTTTTAAATACTGTACCTACCCACCTCTAATTTGTTATTGATTTGATAGATTTCAGTGGAATAGTATTTCTGACGCTTTGAGTAGTATTTAGTTTGGTTAAAAACGTGTTACTTACTTGCAACTTTGACCATGATAACTCCCCACCATATAGACCAACCCCATCCAACAAGACAAAATAAAACTGTAAAGAATTGACTGAAACCTATGATAATATCTATAATGAAAGCTCCAATTCGAGGTTTAGGTCCATCTTTTTGCGAAAATCGGGGTTTTCCTATGCATAAACAAAACAGTCCACTTAAAACCGTTCCTAAAATTGAAGAATACCTTTATTAAATAAATAATTAATATTTAATATTGTATGTACCTGTTCCGGGGCCAATACAATTCATAAAACAACAGAACCATGCCAACCATACAGGTAATACGGGAATCGCTCCTTTCATATGGGATGTATGTTCAACTAGACTTGCATCGATTTTAGGTTTGGTATCCTATAATTAAAAAAAAAAATAGAAGTAATTTTATAACGTTTTTCTTTTTAGTTAATCATTTCAACTTGATTACAACGTAATTTTGTCAATTTTGAATTGCCAAAGAAAAACTAAGCGCAATTCGTCACACACGGGTCCTGCCGTGTGTGCACGTATTGCGTGCAGCGATCTTCATTTCATAGCCGTCGCTGACGCCGTTTTTTTTTCGATCATACGGTAGTTTGTTGTGCAGCGCGCGGTAGATCTCAAAACGGTTAAAAATTGACTGAAACAACGGAATAACTTTCCACTGATAAGTGACTATACAGGGTGTCCCAGAAATAAGTGCTAGTATTTTAAGGGCTGGTAGATCTCGATAAAAGAAACATATTTTCTCTTTATCGTTTTTCAAATAAGTCCAAAATAACCGAGTTATTTTACTTTGAAAATTTTAAGAAAAAATATTTTTTGCTAAAATTTTGGGAACCATTGGATCTTTTCTGGATTTTCTTTCTTGTAAATTTAATCTAATACCTATGTTGCCATATAATCAAGAAATTATGTTTTTTAACTAAGAACTAAAAAATTTTTCAAAACATTTTTCAAGAAATTTCGAATTTTCAAATTTTTTTTTTCGCAAAAAAAATTTCATAGGCGTGTTTCTGGGGTTCAACTATACTACCAGTAAAAATACTTGCACTAAAATACTTGCAATTATTTCTGGGACACTCTGTATTATATAAATACATATAGAAACCGATTATTTATGAAATTCACTTAGAAATTACTAATTATACAGGGTGGTCCGAACTGTATTCTGGAAACTTCAGCAGCATATTCTGCAGATAAAAATAAGTAAAAAGTTCGTATAAATGTATGCCCTAAAATGCTTAGTTTCGAAGATACAGGGTGTAGAAGTGTCATTTTTATTTCGATTTTTTCCAAATAATTTCTGAAATAACGTCAATATTTCGATGAAAATTGGTGTCTGGAAGTTTCATGACACGAGAAATTTGATTTTGATGTCAAAATGACTCCTATTTGTAGGGGGCGCCATCTATATGTGTTTATAAAAAGGTTTTAACTGTTTTGAAGAGTAATAACTTTTCGTCCGTACCGGTATAAAACTACTGACTGAAAAATTATACATTTCCATGACTTTTTACGTAAAAAATGTATCTTGGTAAAAATCGCTACGAGCAACCGTTCTCAAGATAATTAGAATGGAAATATTATTATACATGTTATTATTGACAAAAAATAAGCATACATTGAGTATAGCTATTTGACTGAAATAATAAATTTTAATTTTTTTAAATTAATCATAATTTTTTCTGCGAAAAAATTATTAAACAATTTCTGTTGAACCTTTGGCACAAAAAGATTTCAAATTTATGATTTCAGTTTAATAACTATTTGTTCAACATGTTTAATTATGTCAATGATGACAGGTATTGATAATTTCGAATCCAAATATCTCGAGAACCATTACTCTTAGCGATTTTTAACAAGAGATCTTTTTATGTAAAAAAAAGTCGTAAATGTATATTTTTTACTCAGTAGTTTTATACAGGTATGGACGAAAAGTTATTACTCTTCAAACCAGTTAAAAAATATGTAGAAGGTGCCCTCTACAAGAAGGAGTCATATTGACATGAAAATCAAATTTCTCATGTCAAAAAATTACGTTACTTCAGAAATTATTTGGAAAAAATCGAAATAAAAATGAAACTTCTACACCCTGTATCTCCGAAGTTTTTTGATATGCTTCTTTCTTAATCTTTTTATTCAAAGGTTAGAGACAATCAAAGTCTATGTATACAATGTACCTACCTAATTAATAACAGATTGCGAAATATTATAAAAATGACGCTACAAATGAGAATTTTTTTGTTTTTTTTTTTATTTATTACACATTATTTATTTTTTTCCTTTTTGGTGAATACTTACTTCCGGTGGTGGCATGGAAGTTGGCGTTAAACTCTTCTTCTTACTACTAACCATCGATTCTTTTCTTGTGGCAGGAATAGGAACCTCTTCCTTCTTCTTGCAGCAGCAACAAAAAATCTTCCTCCAAAAGTTCTTGCAGCCATCTTTCGAGCAACACTTAGTCCTAGAAGAACAGAAAGTTACTTTATTATTTAATACTACTATACAACATAGTGTACAACTGTCACTGGGCACAGACCTGTTTGGTTGTACTTCAGATTCAAGGAAACTTCCCGCACTTCTCTCAACCCAACTTTCTTTTCGTTTTCCAATAGGGAAACAACTTTGCGTATCGCCTACTCTGTTCTTCTTGCAGCAATTTAGCTTATTCCAGAATTTCGCTTTAGTCTGCTCACTTTCATCTTCAACGTTAATTCTAATTTGTTCCCTTTTGGGCTCCTTCTTTGATTTCTTAAGGCACTTAAAGCATCCTAAGAAAAAATAACTAGAGATTTATTTATTAAAATATAAACACCTACACTACACTCAGAATTTTCGTAAAATTTAGGAATCTTGTATATTAAGTACCAACCTAAAGTATGTGATAGGATGTATTTCAGGAAAATACTTTAACTTCTACAGGGTGGCTCAAAAAAGTTTGAGTGACATATTATGAAAATTTTGATATTATTAATTAACAAAAGGGTATTTTAAATTTCAATTAAGTGACATGGCTATGTTAAAACCATTATATTTTAATCAAGGAGGATTTTTGGAAAATAGATTTGATCGTCTAATGTTTTTTGGTGTCTTTTCTTGACCGGCTAAAGAAAAAATGCCCAAAACGTATATTTTGATCATAACTCAATTTTTTCAAATGGAACCAGGGTGGCTCGCATTAGCATACCTGGAAAAAACTTTTTTAACAATAATTTGGTACCACATACTTTAGATGTACTATGATGATGATGTATATGATGATACCAGTACAAAGAATTTATTAATTTAGTCTATATGAACAGCAGAACTGCATTTTTATAATTCGCCTGCAGAAGACAGAGTATACAAATATGTGCAGTCCAAAATTTGTCCATAGATTAAAAAATATATCGTTTAAAGTGTTCTAAAATTTTCGATTTAGAAAAACACAGTGCCTGTATCTTTTATTAAGTGCAGGTGACTTTTGAAAGCACCCGGTGTATTAATGTAAAAAAGTGCCAAAAACTTTAATAAGCATTCCGTACCCGTGGTGTGGACTTCCTCATTACTCTTTACTACTTTAGGGACTCTCTTGCAGCTCCTGCATCGATTACATGTCAAAACCTTAGAACAAGAGTGTAGTATCCTCTTGCACCTGTTAGGAGGCGGGTCTTGTTTGGCTGGTTCATTGGGAGGAGTACTTGGTTGGGCTGGAGGTAACCTGTAAATATCAAAGTTTCTTTTAAAATCTCATTGATTTCCATTGATATTTTTTATTTTTATTATATCGAGTTTTTGCGACTAAATTTATATACGCTTAAAACTATTTAAAATAGAATTAAAACATTATGTATCCAAAATACTATTTCAACTCAACTGACTTCGTACTATATACAGGGTGGTACAAATTATAATTCAAAAATTAAAAAAATTGTACAATATTTTTTGTCAGAAAGTTTCTGTCTCCTATAAATAGTTTAATTTTCAATTGATTCATTCCCATTTAGAGAATATCACACACATTATTATAATTATATTTACAACCTTAATAAAATCACTACCTTCTTCAGCATTAAGGTACATTCAGGCTGAGAGCGTCGAGCGTCACGTCACGTTTGCGTCTCGTCCGCGTGTCGAAATGGAATCAATTCACTTAACTTAAATTAGACCGTTCAGGCAGACAGCGTCTCGTTTGGCGTTGCGCTAGCGTCCGCTGAGCGTCGGGGTTCGAGTTCAATGCGGCTGACGCGACGCAAACGCGACGCGCCGCTCCCAGCCTGAATGTACCTTTAGTCTCATTAGCGTTATTTAGAGCTAAGTTTTCATCAAATCCCCTTATATACCACTACAATGTCATCACTACGCAGTCAAATTCATTATACCACTTAAGTAACTGGTCATCGTAATATTTATCTGATATTGTTTCAATTATTTAGCTGCTGATCCAGTGCACAAAAATACTAACGCAATAAAACTAAAGTAATGTCTAGAAGACGATTTGCGATATATTATTAAGAATAAAAAGGGAGTCGAACAAGCTGTTTTGTTCAAATTTGGAACACTATCTACGTAGAGATATGTGGAAAGGTAGATTTCTATACCTAACTTCTTCTGGTTAAGGTTGAAAAGTAAAGATGGACTTGGTTATTCACTGATGGTACATGTGGTAAGATTAATAAATTTCCCAGAAAGTTGTATTATTCATATATTTTCAAAAGAAGAAAATCGTAAACTATAAAATTTCAAGAATCATCTTTAGAATTTACCTGTTACTGTAGCTGAAGAATGGATACGAACGAGTGTAGACCTTTAATAATAAAAATATTAATAAGGTCATAGGTCTTTCAATACAGACGTAAAAAGGCATTCTGCATAAATTAAAATATGTACGTTTTAAAACAAGAACTTTTGCAATATTTCCTTTGCACTTTGTATAGTTCCAGAAACATAAAAACTGGACGTGGCGTGTTGGCATTATCGATTTGGTCAGCTGCCATTTTTATATAATTTGCGTTTTTTCTTGCACGGCAAATTGTTATTTTCTCAGTACAATTATTAGCAAGTTTATTAATGTCAAGTAATAAATAGAAATAACCAATATCTTTATTTTATTGTACTCTACAAAATCGATGAATGTTACAGAATAGCTTCATTGAGAACCTCGAAATTAGTGGAATAAATTAGTAGTTTCTATTAGTGTAGAAGTTGAAAATTCTATACACTACACTCACTTTAATTTCAATGTAAACATCCAAAACGTCAAAATTAGTAGTGGTATTTACAATTAGTAGAAAACGTTAACAAACATAACTTTTGCAAATACCTACTTCTAAATTTGCAAGTAACGACATTTTGACCTTTGATACGCCATGAGAAATTATTGTAAGACATGAAAAGTAGGTATATTGTTTTATGAGCTAATATAATTAGCCTCTCTCTGTATATACAACTGTCTACCGCAATCTGTTTAATTGTGTTTTTTAGACATTAAGAATGAACGTAAACTATTATGCTTCATTCTGAACCTCGCAATTAGTGGAATAAATTAGTGGTTTTAATTACACTTTATACTTTCCAGTTTACGATCATCCACAATGTCTAAAAAACTAAATTAAAATTAATAGAATTTCAACAGCTTGCGGTAGTCAGTTGTATCCACAGAGAAAGCCTAATATTTAGCTTATAAAACAATAAACTATTGATTTCTAACCAAAGTTTTTCTTGACGGGTGATAATCAAAGGCCAAAATGACATTCTTCGCAAATTTTGAAGTATAATTAGTGGAAAAGTCAAAAGTTTGTTAACTTTTTCCAATAATTGAAAAGTATTACCACTAATTATAACGTTCTGAATGCTTACATTAAAATTAGGTGAACAAACTTCTACGGCTAATTGAAACTAATAATTTATTCCACTGATTTCGAGGTTCTCAATGAAGCTTAAAAATGATTACCACTAATTTTAGCGTTCTGAATGCTTAGTAAGCTAAGTAAATCTTAAGAAGACCAATTTGTCATGGATATTTTACTAATAAAACAAATTTGCCTAAGGAACAAAAAATGCTTAACGTTTCTGGATTTTGAAGTTTAACTTGATATAATGTCTTTGTAACAGAACACCAGCGGTTTTTAATTGATGTATCTGTTGAAAAAACAGTGTTCTTGAATATTTTTTTTATTTAGATATTTTAAATAGTTTTTTTTCTTTGTTCTTTGCATTTTTGTTGCTTCCAACGACGACGGAAGGAGATATATCTCGTGAAACGTTAAGCGTTTTTTTGTCCGTTAGGCAAATTAGTAGACAAAAAATAACTGTTTTATTTTGTAAAAGAATTTTTTGAATAATCTATAATAATTACTACTTAGCTGTCATTAAAAGAAAAGTGAAGAAGCGTTGTTATTTGACTATTAAATATAAAAAAAATAGTTTTTCAACGTTACTGCGAAAGTTAGATATTGGGTCTCTACTAGAAATTAAAAAGCAAAAAAAAATGGTTGCAAGCAAGTATAGAAATATATTATGTAAATTCTACAGTACAGAAGTTATGAAAAGTAGTAACTAATTTTGATCAATAAATATTTATTAATATTTTACCCAGCATGTCCGTTCAGACCATTTTCAACGTAGCCATAACCATTATTGTACTCTTCATGCAATGGAGTGACGTATATAAACGTCATTATACTTTCGGAATAATTGCATCTAAAATAAGTTAACGTGCAAATGGGTCTATTGGTTTAATTTAAAAACACCGTATCAGCGCAAAATGATTCGACTAGTATTTACAGACATGCGCAATAACCTTTTATATTCACACTAATCAAATGTATATCTACACGTGCAAAAATACATCTAAACAAAAGAAAACATTAATAATCAAGGACAGTCCTTGTAAGTTAAATCAAAACACATAAAAATGTACCATTTGTATTTGTCGATTACGCTCACTCGTAGTAATGTCATTTTCTATTTTTTAAAAGATTAAAATAATAACGTCGCAAATAATATGAAAAAAACTATTCGCGGAATGCAGAAAGTCACCAACACTGTCTTTTCAAATTTTAAATAGTTAACACTGGTTAGTTTTATGAGGTAACATAAAAAAAACTCCCTAACCAGAGGGTAAGAAAATTTATAATGTGGTCGATGGACGACTGGTTCAATGCGGTCTTGCTACAGTCTTGAGGCCAGCCAAAGGCTGGCCATTGGCCAAACACTTTTCTTCAAGGTTCAGGGGTGTGACCTAAGGGACTAAATTGGCAAAAATTATTTATTCTTTTTATTATTTTTTTTTACAAAATAGCTGTAGTTAGTGTAATAAGTAATAATAAAATATTTTTATCTTGCTATCTCTTTATCTTGCTTATTATTTTTTTTTATAAAATTGCTGTAGTTAGTGGGTAATTAGTAATATAATAAAATATTTTTATCTTGCTATCTTCTTTTATATCTTATATTTTTATCTTCATTATTTTTTCATTAAAGAAATATAAAAGACTTAAAAATTATATTTATACAATGGTTGTCTTTTATATTTTGCATATGGTGGAAAAAAAGAACAGTAGATAACTTTTAGGTACTGTTGTTTTTTGAAGTATTCCTTACGAAGAGAAATGCATTTTTGTATCTGTTGGAACCAATTCTGGAAAAAGTTATTCCACTCGCTTGCTGTTACCTTCAAAATTGTGTTTTTGAAGACGCTAACTGCATTTTCTGGGGACTTGAACTTTTTACCACGTAGTTCATTCTTAATTTTTGGAAGAGAAAAAAGTCGTTAGGACTTAAGTCGGGACTGTATGGAGTATGGTCCAACAATCTTGTTTTAAAAACTCAGTTGTTTTTCGAGTTGTGTGGGAACTTGTATTCTCTTGGTGTGGGATTCGTCGTTGAGAGTTGGTTTTTCGAAATTCATTAATTATTTTCGGCAAACAAAGAGATATGTACCAACCAGCATCAACAGTTCTTTGATCTTGCATATGAATTGTTACGACATGACCCGCTTTGGAGACAAATGTCGCCATCATCTTTTTTGGAAACATTAACAGAACACACACTCTCGTCGGTTTTGGTTCTCAGAACACCCAAACAGTCGATTAATGGTTATTTTCAGGGTCATAAAAGTAGATCTAGGATTCATCACCACTGACAATACTGTATATATATTTTCTGAGTTTCCTGCGCAAAACCGGTAAGAGTATTTTGATACCAATACCACAATTGACTCAAATTGTTTTTGTTCTTCCGACAACAGATGCATATAACGGATATTTTTAGCAATATTCGATAAAAATATATATGGTATCTTCAGTCATATTGTAACAACATTTTGTAGTATTACTTTTTTTATCGTGGCAATTAAATGATCTTTTCATAAATTTCCTAGGTCGCTAGATTTCAGTTAACGACAGTCAAGTTGTTGTTTTCTTATAGTCACTATATCGTATCTTAAAGTAAATCACTATCATTTAGATGCACTGTTTCATAGAAAGTATTATTATTATCGCCATTTTATTTAAAGAAGTCAAGATCAGAGTTTTTGTTATTAAAAATATGATTTTTTTATTGCTAAAGAAATATATCCCGTACTCATTTTAAAATATAAATTTCTATACGAATTCAATTTTTGACGCTTATATATTTCAAATTAATAATATTCTTCTATATAACAACCTACGCTGATGATCGAATTTTTTTAGAAAATTTAACGTTTAACGCTTCTTT